CACATTGCAATGGGAAATTTTAACCAAATATTTAATAAAAGTACGCTGTGATAAAGTCGAAGCTTAGTCATTTTAAATAAGATTTTAAACGATATATTTTAACTCAGTACTTTTCTTTATTACAACTCTCGTACATTGTTCAACTACTACTAACTCACTTTTACAATATGTCAAAACTATATGTCATTTTTATTTTAGCGTTGCCACAATAAATTTAATTTTTTTAATCATTATATATAATTTTTTGCCAGCTTATATCGAATTGCCAAAATCCCAACAAAATTATCGATTTTAGGGACGTATTAAAAAAATTAAATTAAAATTGATGAACAACGTAACGAACATTGACAACGTTTGAACAATTTAACAATAAATGGAGCTAATAAGAAGTAAGATACATTGAAAATGAAATACCAGAACAACGAACAGCAAAAGATAACATGACTAATCAGTTTTTATCAAGGAAAATTATTTTTTGAAGAACATTTTTTTAATAATATATAGAAATATTTTATGTGTAATGTAAAAAATTTCTTCACTGAAACATATTTATGTTGCCTATCAATTCCATCTAGTGAAATATTTCTCATCGAAACAGAATTTTTCATATTAACTTTTGTTTATAAAATTGACTATTTTTTTAAGAATGAAAAACTAATTTTAAGTCATCACGAGGATAATAATCTTATCGCACATTATCCTGAATGTAAAATCTTGAAGTGAAATTTTTGAATCCAAAGTGTGTATGTATTCGACGGTGCAATGTAACGATAGTAAAAACTTTAGCAACATTGAAATAAATAAAGAGAGCAAGAGCAATAAAATGTACTGTTTTATTCGTATTAAAATATCTTGCAGAACGTCCGATGTTGTCTTCCACTTCACCTCACCGTTGGCGTTATTAAATTTGTCTTTGGCAATTAACTTTTAATAACGAATGAAATTTTTATTTGAAGAAAACATGCCACACAGGAAGTGTAAATTAATGTTTTTGTTTCTCAAATTACTTTCAAAAAATCTTTAATAACAAAGCATAAAAATGTGCTAAGTTTAAAGCCCCAGAGCATTCATGTCCTTGATGGTCTTTTAGTGTCGACAGCTGCTCTATGTGGCGCAGCATCCGTTGTTAAAAATATTCAATTTCGATAGCAAATCTTGTTGAATCGGTGCGAGAACTGAACAATTTACAAACTTTCATTTGCTAAATTAAGTTTTATGATTGTGTTTTCGGAGTTATGTGCTGTGCTGTGCTGTGCTCTGCTTTGTATTTCTGGTATTGTGTGCAATTGCTCATTTTCCACGGAACAAAAATTCACAATTCCGTGTTTTTCACGCGTAATTGAAATTGAGACCCTGCGGCATATCCTAAACTCAATCAAACCAAAAATGTGCTTTCATAAATTTTGGAAGCTCAACATTGCCACTGAATATTTTAAATTTCAAAATGAAATATTTTCTACGATTTTAATTACTTTTTAAATTACTAATTACTTTAAACATTGTTTCTATAAAGTTGAAATGCCTTAATCCGCTTTTGTTGTCGAATGTGCGTTGCCTGTGATTGCGTGCATCGCCACGAAAAATGACATTCAACTTAGAGTTTAGCCCTCAAAACTCTCGAAATGAAAACTGGCAGCACTTAAGCACGATTGTCCTTTTGAATTTCAAAACAGAGGATATGTGAAAGAACTTAAAGGAAGAAAAAATGAAAGGAAAAAAAAATAATGGAAAAAAAATCCTTTGGTATATTTTTTGACGTTCGAAGAATGGAAGTCAATATCAGCAGCTAAATGACCCAGTTGCATACCAATCTATGGATATATGCAGTGTTGCCAGCACCGATGAATATGCATCAGCACAAATGCATATTAGTGCATTTGTTGCATAACCAATTTGTTGTTGTTGTTGTTGTTGCACTACATGCATATATGGATAAAGGATACGTACAAAAACTGTAATACAAAAAATTCAAACCCTTTTTCTTAGATGGGACGTGCGCAAGGGTGTGGATAATTCCATTGTATTCATTTTTGCATTGTGAATGGTAGTTTTGAACCTTGCTTTCTTGCTTTCCCCATTGACTTTTCACTTTTTTGGGGGTTCATTGTGATTGCAGCTGACAAGCGAACCCCTTTATTTACCCATTTCCAAGTCACTTAAGTATAAAACTGTTTGAGTTTATAAACAATGCTTGATTGTTACTTTTCTGGTTGCACTAATCGCATGAATTAATGCGGTTAAATTAGACCAGAGCTGTCCACACCAGATACGATTGCGGGCCAAAACAAATCATTGTACACCCTGAATTAGACTAACGATCTTTTGTCCAGAGCCCACTTATGCTCATATAATGGAACATTGTGTTATTACGAATTAACGTGTAAAGCAGTGAAGGATATGGATTGTAAGGATAAGGATATAAATAAAACAATGTACTTCTAAATATTAGTTGTATCTTTAGTAAATCTCCCAAAGTGTAAAGCACGGTTAGGATACAAATATAATCTATGTCAGTCTTATTAAAAATTATACAAAAAACATTTAGAAATCATATTCCCATAAAATATTCACATTCGTTTCTAAATGCAGTCGTATTTCCCATAGACTTGAACGAACGCAACCTTTCAAAATAGAAGAAGGCATGGAGATAATATGCGTACACAAATATATAACCTTATATATTTTATATATAGATATAGGCTATCTAAATTCGTAATCGTTTATTAAAGTTGCTTGGTACAGTCTTTATCAGGTTTTATTGAGTAACGAATCAGATATAGCTTATCCTAATATACCTAATAGACACAAATTGAAGAAAACTGGAGATTACAAGATATGTATGGAGCACTTCTGCTCCATGCAAAAGCTTTGATTACCCAGCATTTATAACATAGGTTACTTTTTGTTTACTACTCTTCGTCTTATAATGTTAGATGTCAAATAAATGTGTGAAATTATGAAAACTTCATATGTTATTTTTATAAATATATGTTATTTTTATACTCATACGAAAGGCCTTAGATGAACTCCAGATGATAATAAGAGCACGAAATGATAGAAACGTGGGTTAATAGTATTTAGGAATGATCAACATTCTTATATGGACTAGGACATTATGGGGACATCAGTGCCGTATTTCATACCTGAACAATTAATAAAAATAAAATAGTTTTTTTAACTATTTTCAATCAGTGAAGCTATTCGGTTACATAATGGTTATGGGGTGTCTTTAAGCTGTATCTCTGCCACAAACCAAAATAGGTTTCCTTCAATTGTGATCTCTTCAATAGATCACAGTTTGCTGCGAGTTTCTTAAACGAGGTCATATACTTGTATTCGCAATTTATGGAAGACTATTATCATATCTATGTTATACGACAATGTACGGCATTACAATATCCTACCAATGTCTGACTTTGGCCAGAAACCCTAATTTATATCTACTGCGTATTCGTATTCTAAAAACACAAATTGGACTACTTCTACTTCAGTCTTTGTTGTTGTTTGTATTTTTTTGTTTTTTTCGTTTGTTTGTATTTTGATTTAGTATTCATACCCACTGCCGCTGGTTCGTTGTGGATATTTGCATAGCTGTTGTTCATTGTCGTTTTTGTTACAGCAGCTACACCGCCAACGTATGATTAGAGTATAGCGGTTCAGTGATTTTATTTGCAGGACGTACTACATCCAACTTTAGGACGGCACTAAATTCATAGATATCCTTTTTGAGCTTTAGTGTATAACAGAGTAATGTTAGAGTTGATTGTTTATGCTTGTGCTGTTATTGTTGTTGTTGTTGTTGTTGTTGCTGCTGCTGTTGCTGTTGGTAGTGCTGCCATCACTCAAAAAATGAATAAATAAATGATTACTGATTATGTGCAAAGCAGCAACAACGCAAACAACGCAAACAACGCGAACAACAAAAGCCACCAAGGCAACAAAAATGTAAATAAAAACAACAACAATTACTAATACAAAATAGTACAGCCATCCATCCATACGAGAGAAATGATGCTGTGCTAGTGGCCATGATCGTGGTCATGACTCAACATGCTATGGATTAACTTGAGGCGCGGGCAGCATAAAAATGCATACAAAAACAAAGCCAACGTATTAAATTAATGTTGTAGTTGTTGCAGTTGTTGTAGTTGTTGTTTCTTAGTTGAAATATATTATTGCATAGAGAAGTTTTTATTGCTGCTTTTGTTGGTGTAGTGGTTGTAATCGAATTGTGTAGTGCGTAGTGTGTAGTGTGTGTTGTGTGTTGTGTGCTGTGCTTATCTATTGACGACTTTTTGGCTTAACAAACGCCAGTGAATAATAGCGGCGAGTACATAAATAAATGCGCATGCATTTAAATGAAACTCAACTCGTCCGAGTTTGAATGATAAATTATTTGATGTATGATTAATTTGCATATTTGCCAAATGCCCGAATGCCCGAATGCCTGTATGCGCTTTTGTTGTGCATTTAAACTCTGTTTACGAGAATTGCTAACGAAATGTTGCGAATACTAAGTTGTCTAAAAGTTTGCCTTGTAAAGAAACGTTACAGCAGGATACGAAATCAGTGCATCGCAGTAAGGATATCAAATATTTACTAATTTTTAAAAAAATATTAAAATTATAAAAAAAAATATTTCCTGTTCATTAAATGTAATAACAAATAACTTTTTTGTTTTTTACTAAACATAAATAAAAGACATTTTTTACAAAGTTCAATTAAATTAATTAAAACTCATAAGAATGTCATATAACTTAAAATTTCATACGCTTAATTAAATTATTTTTGTTTATGGGTAGAAAAAAAATTTACCTTCTTTTACTCTAAAAGATGCTATATCCCTATTTTGCTAAAATTATTTTTTTTCTGTTTCGTAAATATAAAAAATTTTATTTTTTTTCTTTGCTGTTTTCTTTTAATAATAAAAAATTATTTAGAAATTTTTTTTTCGCCTGCTTTTGTATTGGATTTGTAATATACATATACTTCTCTCTCTTTTCCAGCACTACCGCGGTTCATTGAAGTCCTTGAATACTGGCATAGTTACGCTGCTCAATTACGGGAAACATGTGCCACCCGCTGTATCTCATGTAACGCTGGCACATGAAATCGGACACAATTTCGGTTCACCCGTAAGTTTTTATGGCATAAAATTTATTTCTTTATTGTTATTAGGATCGCTTTTTTAGTTTTATTTTTTATTGATTTTGTGTTTTTTCCACTTTTGCATATATTTTTTATTATTACTATTTAAAATCTGAAAATTATTGGTTTCCCATTAACCTTTTTTGCCTATTTTTATTAAGCAATTTTGAGGGGTTCATTTAATAATTGTCCAAAACATTTTAACAATAATTTTTTAGAAAAAGGTGAGGAATAGATAAGAAAGTAATCTAAATATGTGTATATTAGCTCCTACATAAAAACAAAGATTAAATGCATGAATTTTTTCAAAGACTTAATTTTAAATTTTGTTTTATAAATTATTTCAATTTTATCGCAATGCATAGCTGAAAAGACATACATATAATGTTGAATAACAGAATATACTAATAAATATAATGGTCATTGCTTAACAATTTTTCATAATATATTTACGTAACAAAGAAATAGTGATTATTTTGGAAAGGCCTACAATTGAAGTGGTGAAAAATAGTTTAGACATTTCTCCTACGCAATGTTTAACTTAGACCGTAAGCAACTTCTTTAACTTGTTGCCAATATGCATCAAATTTGAGGTTCTACATTAGCAAAAATAACAACTACAACAACCTAGTCATCATGGCAGCGAAACAACAGTAAAAACTGCATGAACTTGTACATCTTGTCTGCTCGCTCATTCTTAATAAAATTATTCACAGTTCGTCGCATGCTCACGAAGCACAACTCAACAAAATTCAACACAACACAACACAACAACGCACCCATTGTCTATACGTACAACGCAAAAATAACCGCACAACTGATGCTGTTCTGAGGAACAACAACAATTGTGTTCATTTAGTGGCATTGAATAACAATAACAACATCAAAGCATAAGCAAAACTCATGTGTGCAATGCCAACAGCGCCATCGATTTCATTTGTGTTGTTGCTGCTGCTGCTGTTGCTGTTGCTGCTGTTGCTGTTGCTGCTGTTGAATGCGTTCGCACAATGCATGCGTTGTTGTTTGTATTGGTGAAGGAGTGTAACACTAACACGAAAACACAAACTTCGGTTAATTCGCTGTGCTATCATTTTCGTGTTGTTAGTTGTTTATGCTGCAATTAGGCATAAGGGCGGACAGGGGAACGGACACATATGCCAGCTAAAACTGCTTAATTAGATTGAAAATGTGGTCACTAATAAAAATACATACAATAACTAATTTATTGTTGTGAAAATAATTAAAATAATTTTACTTTCTACTAGAAATATTATGCTTCTCTTTTATTTATTAAATAATTGGTTTCTTAATTACTTTATAACATAAATGCAAATACTCAATAAAGTTATGTTCTTATTTAGCATGATCCCGAGCAGTGCACTCCTGGTGGAGAAGACGGCAACTACATAATGTTTGCTCGTGCCACTTCAGGAGATAAGAAGAACAATAATAAATTCTCGCCTTGTTCGCTAAAATCCATTGAGCCGGTACTGAACGCTAAAGCACGCAGCGCTAAAGGTTGCTTCACAGAACCTCAAACATCGATTTGTGGTAACGGCGTTGTGGAGCCAGGCGAACAGTGTGATTGCGGTTGGGAAGAGGATTGTAAGGATGCTTGCTGCTTCCCCATGTCGCGACACCCTCGAATTGATGAGAAACCTTGCACATTAACACCGCGTGCCATGTGCAGTCCATCACAAGGACCCTGCTGTACTACAGATTGTAAACTGAAGTTTGGCGATAAGTGTCGTGATGATAACGGTTGCCGCGATCCGAGCTTTTGCGACGGGCGCATGCCACAATGTCCACCCTCGGTTAATAAACCCAACAAAACCATTTGCAATAAAGAATTCGTTTGCTACATGGGTGACTGCACGGGCAGTATATGTTTGGCTTATGGCCTCGAGTCATGCCAATGCATACCAGGACCAAAGGATGATAAAATCAAGTCATGTGAATTGTGTTGCAAGCTTCCTGGTGAAGACAATCCGTGCCGCAGTTCGTTCGAATGGAATGAGCCACCGTTTGATGTGCCTGACATGTACGCGAAACCAGGCACACCCTGCAACGATTATAATGGGTAAGTAAAAGATTAATGTAAGCCAAAAAAAGTGAAGAAGAAATGTTACGCATAAGATCAAGTACCAACTGCATTGGTGGTTCTACTTCAGTTGCGCGTAATAACGATTTGTGACATTATTCTACCATGTCATATCTCATCGCTGTGCGCCCAATTTTCAGTTGAAAAAATAAGCGAAAGTCTTTTAACAAAATTTACACATGAAATAAATTCTATAAATTTTTTATATTTCAATGGCTTTTCATTTCATTTTCGGACAGTTATTGCGACGTCTTCCAGAAATGTCGTGAAGTTGATCCTTCCGGACCGTTGGCTACACTGCGGAAACTGCTCTTATCTGAAGAGAGTATTGCTACATTCAAAAAGTGGATTCTGCAGAACTGGTATACGGTGGCATTGGCAGCAATCGGCGTCTTTATACTGCTGGTAAGTAATCGTAGTTCACAGGATTTGCAGCAAAAAGCATTTGCGCAAAGGATTGCTGTGAAGCAAAACGCAGGAAATTGTCTTGTCGAACAGCAGAATTGACATTGATTTGCAATTTATTGTAGCTTAGCTCAGTGAACAGTAAAAAATATTTACGTTATTCATTTATACACAAATGCACTAATAATATTTTTGTTTGAAATTTATAAATTTTAATAAATGAAATGATGTCTTTTTTTTTTAATAATTTTTGGTTTGTGAACAATAGATTTTAAGATTTGTAACAAATATTTTAAAGGACGAATATGAAGAAAAGATTGCTATGACCGAAGCGTGTAAGTGTTTCGAGCAAAAATATTTGCAATTCAAGTAATCGCGCCGTCATAACGCTAGACTTCAAGCTGTAGTCATACCGACAGTGTCATTCCGCGTAGCACTCAGATATTCATTTAATATATTAAATTTAGTTTCACTATTTTTAAATATTTTTATTTACCAAAATAACTTTCGTTCGCTTTTAGGTACTAAGCACCAAGCTCCTGGCGAAGCGCTCCAATCTGAAACTAAAATCAGTGACAATTATCCACAGCGCCACAACCGAAACAGTACGTCTGCCAGACGACAACAACGGCGTTATCGTGCATACAGCTGTCCGCACAAAGGTGCCTCTCAAGAAGAAGGTGCGCGGCGAACGCAGCAGCAAGAGCGCTGGTAAGAAAGCAGCTACGAATGGCAAAGTAGGTGTGAAGTCCACCCATGCAAGCGGAAATCGTGTAGCGGCTAAAACGATTGCACCTGCAGCAGAAGCAAATGTTGAGGTAAAGAAACCGGTACGGGCGAAAAAGAATCGTTTTACTGGCGGTGCCACAACTGCAGCAACGCATATGTCCAATAGACTAATCACAAATCCTATAACATCCAATTCGGAAAAAGTGGCCAATGATGCTAAAAAACTGAAAAAGTTCAAGAAACACAACAAGGAAATAATTGATTACTCAGCCCGCAATGCTCAAAATACAGCTGGCGCATCTGGTGCCCACACCAACACGTTTGGCAAAGTTCAGAAATG